GCAGAGAATCAAAAGAATCAAAGGCATGAAGGACGTCACCACAGACACACAGCACCCTCTCTATACCGACTGCTCCCTTCACTTTCCTTTCATGCTCGTCTTACTTGGCTTCTCTCCCCCTTCTTACGTAGGATTCAAATTTTTCATTAATCCAAGTGGGTAGTTACCCCCGTTTCACTGTGCGCCATCACACTGAAGGCACACGTCTTCTAAGGAGTCCATACCCCTCCAAATCTAAAGCACATTCATGATCGGAACTACAGAGACAATATCCTTCTCTAAATCCTGTGTGCTAGAGCCACAGGAAAGCTACGCATGCGGAGTGCTAATAGTTACACAAACAGCCTTACCCTGTTTGGCTTCATTTAGCTTTCCCAAGAATGTTCTTGCAGTTCCTCTTCTTGCAAAAGCTTTAGAATATGAGCCATCTAATAAAATAGCTTGTGTGCAGTCTTTCTCAGCGTCTTCATATCTATTAAACGTAAAATTGCAAAACGGGGAAAAATGAAGCTTGGAGAACATTTTTATATTACCTGAGTTTCTCATTTAAAATACTTGCGTATAATTCCAATTACGACTGCTCTATAACAAACAGCTAAGAGAAAGCTAACGGAAAACACCACCTTGAGACCTTGTCCTCCTCCATGAAACAATGCTTCAGAACTATGACTGAAGTATAAAGATTCAGAATGGGACTGCGTGCACGATCATGCTCGGTCTCTAGTTCACTGTCATTATAACATCTGTAAGGCGTTCAAAATAATTCAGGGGGGGGGGGAGGGGGGGCGCAACAAAAATATGACCCAAACATGAGTCTTATTAAAACTAGATGATAGTTATGAGGCAGTCTCAAACAGTTCATGGGAAAATAGAAGTACAGGATAATGGGATTTTTCCATGAACTTTCTGAAGACCCCTCATATATAGGTTTATTGTATGACTTTATTGTATGTTTTCACTTCCTTCGCTCACACCGCTCCTCGCCAACTCGGCTCCACTTGCACACCTTTCCTGGCCACCCGGACTGCGTGTGCACCGTCCTTGCCCTCCCTCTACCGCCACAGCACTTGCTAACAATCACTGGTCTTTGCTGCCTCTCCTTTAAGCTGCAAGTTCTTTCCAACAACTGTGTGGCTAATACATGTATGCAGGATACCCGCCCGGGGGCTAGCAGAGCACCTGACACATTCTGGGGTCAATCAGTGTTGGCTGACCACATAAAGTGGAACATGTCCATTTAGCAGACACATGTGGAGGAACGCACTTTGGTTACATATGCAAAAATCATGTTCTAAGCTTTTAAACACATAGAAGATCATTATCCTTTGGCAATGGACACAGCCAGAATCCTTTAAAATCACTAATTTTCCCTTATGAACTTCACAAAATATCCAATTTCTAACACTGAACTAAAAAGTAGAAGTAATAAAGATAGGTTAAAAACAAAAACAGTAACTCCCTGCCTAACTCCTTAGGCCCTGAACCGGTTTCCCTTCTACTACACAGGTAGGTCCACGCTTGCCCTAGTTCTAAGGCAGCTCTGGCAATCCCATCCTTCACCAGCACTAAGGGAACCCTCTGCTAAATTACATCTCACTCTGGTTCTAAGACTGGGAAGGAGTTTTTCCACTTACCATTGATACTCGAGTATAAGCCGACCTGAATATCCGCCGAGGCACCTAATTTTACCACAAAAACTGCATTTAAAATGTGCTGAAAAACTCACCTTATACTCGAGTATACACGGTACTCCTGTGCTAAATGTCAACCCAATTTCTCAGACCGAGTAGCTAGTGTTACTGGATCTTTTCCCTATTCTCTATTCCTAAATCTTACAAGGGGCCCATATTTGTTCTTAGCCAGTTCTCTTCAGAGTCCTGCCCCAAACCTCTGGCCCCGTTTCTGGTATCTTATTATCTGCTCTAATTCTCTGAAGCTAACCATCTGCCAATCTACATTCCCACAATTTGCCAGCTCACAGATAGTCCATCACTGTAACGCAAGGGTATCTTGCTGACCTCCTGCTGTCCATTCCCACCTAGACTAGCACCTCTAAAAATCAGCTTCTGTCGGGATTTTGCTAGACTAAGTGGATTTCTTCTTCATCTCCACTGCTACCCGACACGGGTACGTGAGTGAGCACAGCACTCTACCATTGCCCTGCGAGTTATCGGCCTTGTCTCCACCAGTCAATCTCTCAGTCTTAATTTGACACCTGGTTCATAGGGTCTCGAGCTCCAGTCTGGTTACCCAAGACGGCATTTAAGTTTGAAAAGTTCCTCATCTAGTTTGTAATATACGCAGTGTACTAGAGAAAATGCATAGAATGGCAATCTGACATGCTACAAAAAGACACAAGAGTATACGGTTCTATTTAAAATATACTCTAACAGACTGTAATACTTGTACACTCTAATAATCTGATTATAACTATAGCAGTAAAACTAACACAATAAATTTGAGTTTTCATAAATGCCAATATAACCTGTTACTTTTTAGTATATGTGCTGCCGAAGCGAGCACTATAACCTGTTATTTATAATACTATTTTTATCATTAAGTCAAGCTTACGGATCCAGGCCTCACAGTTTTACATCAATATGCAAATCTTGAACAGGCAGGAATCAAAATTTTCATAAGCAGGCAAGAGAGGCAATGATGTTCAACCAAAGAAATATCTCCAGTTGTACCTATTACTTTAAGCAAGGTTAAAAACACAACCAAGTTTTACTTCTATGACAGGAATTCTTAACCCGAAGTCCCTCAAGGGAGCCAGAAATTTGAATGGGAAAAGAAAAAAATTATTTTCACTAGCTTTTAAAGGAACTTTAAGTTTCTGCTGTTATAAATTTAGGCAGCAAACCACCACAGTATTACAAGCAGTTGACTGTGACTGTTACAGGGAAAACCAGGTATTTCCATATCACGTGGCGGCTGCTACAGGCACCTCAAAACACGCTCCTGCTCATCGCGATTTCAGCACCTCAGCAGAAACTTAGCCAGCGGCTTGTGAGCATGTGCCGGCAGCATCCCTGTCTACCCTGCTCCTGTGACAAGGGCCACTCTGTGCCCAGGAGCCATCCCACTGCCAAGAGGGAAGTCGGTGCCAGCACACCGGAAACACTCGCATCGATGCGGCTTGCAGGCCGTCGCTGCCCACACGGGTCTGTTCGTGAATTTGTGGAAGGAAACGTGCCCCAGGTTAATCTGCTTGTTCATTCAGGTCTTCACATTGAGATGTCTCAATTTTTCTACTTCAATCTGCCTGTATGTCAAATACGTATTCTTATTTTGCAGGGTTAAGTATGCAAACTACCATTTTATCCATTTTAATATGTCTTTGTAACACTCGGCATACAGGTAAACACACAAAACCGTAACCCGAGTCACAGGCTTCGCCGTGCTGTCCTACCAATCGGCCACAGTCTGGCTCGGGGGTTTTGTGGTGGTTTGCTTTCACTCTGGCACTCGGTATTAGGATAAGACACGGACAGGATAAGGCACAGTTTCTGCCAATAGACATTGCCCTACCAAAGCCAGCTAATTCACATCGCATGACCAAGTTGTAGTTGCGAATTTAATCAACCCACAATTTTGATAACAGTTTCCTTTTTGTTATAAATATAAAGTACTTCCACACAAGACTTTGTCCAAAAGGTTCTAAGTTAAAATAATTTTACATAAATCAATGGAGAGTGTTAAAATGTATGACTCCAGGCCAGTAGGAGTGGGGTGAAAATGATTCACTTGAGCTAACATTACCAAATATTTACTAAGTGCTTAGGCATGGTTATTATTGAACCTTAACTTAATCCATAAAAATCGATCAATGCACTCATTCACTGTCTAGCTAAGCCAATCTGTGATAAACTTCACTTCCACCCAGAAAGCATTAGAATGTGACCAGTACATACTTCTGAATCTTCAGATAGGCCATCGCTCTGTTAGCAGGAAGGAGCGCATTGGTGCCATCTGCTGCCATCCCGCGAGTGTAGCATTCAATCGCGCTTTCATACTTTCCCTCTTTAAAAAATGCATTCCCCTAGCATGTGTGGAGAGGAAAATGAAAAAGGGTCAAAAATATACAAGAAGGTTAACCTAATTCAAAACACTACAATGTCTGTTAACTAATACGTTATCAATAATAAAGGTATGTTTTAATTATTGAGAATTTAATCCATGAGCCTACATTTTAGAATTTTACATGTAAATTGTTTTCTTTAACGGCGTCATTTTTCTAGTACTAAAAAGGGAAAAAAGGACATTACGCTTTCCATGAACCATTAGTATACCAGGTCAATCTGTTACAAAGCCTAGAGGTTAAAACTCACGTTAACACACACAGGCCTAAACCTGAACCACTAAGAGAGTGTGCGGTTTCTAAGACCCCAAGCTGTTGTGAGCCTGTTTGCCGTCCTGTGGTGGTTCGCGTACTGCTGGGTGCTGTAACCCTGACACTGGGGCTCCAGGTACCAGCAGGGTCAGCCAAGGTAACTAGTTTCAGAGGAGCACCCGGTTTGAGGATTTTTTAGAAGCTGTGCACAAGAATTTTATAATTCAAACGTTTTCTGTGAAAGAACACATTGGCAGACCACACAGCCTACGCTTGGGAGATACAGGGTAAATCCGTGTGCACTGGGAGGTGATACCAGGTATCACTGCTACTGTGGCTTACTGCTAATGAGTCAGACAGATTACAGTGAGCACTCCACAAGCACTTACTACGTATCTCTGTGGGTCCATTAAAAGTCTGTGAGCGTATTAAACCGCTTCCTAAACCAAGGATTTGGAAGGGAACTGCAGTCAGAAATAGTCCAGGGTGAATTAATAAAAATAGCATTTATTATAAAGAAGAATGAATCAATTTCCTTTTTCTAGTTTTATAACTAAGCTACATATGTTAAAATAACCAAAAAGTTGAATGTTTCTATTAATTGTTTTTAAAATATTTACATCAATGGCTCAAATTTCACATTCGTAGATTCCGAATGTTTTAGTATATTTAATATACCCAGTTCTTACGAGAGCTGAAAATGCCAGCAGAGTTTTAGTAACATAGAGACGAAGAGCAAACACTCAGCAACGTGTACACGTTCGTTCGGCGTTGGAACCCGAGTTACCAGATCTTTCTGTGCCGTGGCCTGCTGCTTCTGCTGCTGCTCTTCAACTTGTTCCTTCTCCCCTGCAGCCGACTTCACCATCGCGCCAGCTTCTTGAGGACACGAGCTCTCTCTGCATGGCAAAGCCTAGGAGACACCGTGAGACTGGCTAAAGTAAAACAAGGAATGCAAGTTGCACATAGATGTTTTTAAAATGCTGAATCACTCAAATGTACTAGACTTTCTGCTGCAGTTCAACTTAATAATTTAAATAATATTTTTTACTCGAATTCGAAGTCTTTATACTTATTTCCTTAAGAAATAAAGTATACAATAAATTCCATGTACACCTTACATCAATTAAAATACGTTATGCCCACAAAAGGTAGTTGCTCAATTATTCAGTTATTCGAATAGTTCAACAAAGAGTTAGTCAAAAAGTGTGGCTACTGGATTTCCATTTCAGTTACACACAATGTTGAAACATGTCCATGCAATCAGCAGATGGGGGAGACAAGTTCTCTCAGTAGTGTACTTGTCTTTGTCCCATTCAGGTGTCTTCAAAAACCAGGTTGCGGAAGGGGAGTGTAAATAGGATGGATGTCATAAGTATAAAAAGGAAAAGAATGTTTTGGGTAGCAATTATACAATACTGCTTGATGTGATTGACTATGGAAATATGCTATCTGTATTAGGTCCCAATAAATGGTGCCTGGTAGGTGGGCGAGGGCGGGGGGGACAGGGACGGGTCCAATCAAAAGTGGTTTCCAAGGGATGTTCTGACCCAGTCAAATCCAAGGCAGAGCTCAGAAGTTATAACGTCTGTTTGATAAAACTCCAAGGGGTAGTAGTGCTATATTTTCTCTTAAGACAATCATGAGGGCTTGCTATAAAAAGCTTTTAAGGAAATTTCAACGACGTTAGTGAGAAAATAGTGAGGAAGTTGCTTCAAGGGGTGTTTCCCATCAGGACACTGCACCCGCTCATTCAACGTTAACCAGGACTGTCCTAGGAGAACTTCCTTGGGAAAACCTAGCCAATCCACCCTGCAGCCCTGAGGCTGCGCTTTCTGCTTCCCAAACGCAAAGCACATTTAAAAGGAACACAGTCTGAGTCCCTCAAGGGTGCCCAACCAGCTGCTTGACCCTGTGGACATCAGAGGGTGCAGGGTTCTTCAGGCACGGTCACAGAGAGGGACCACCGCCCTAACAAGTGTGTTGACCTACACAGATGCTATGCTGAGAAACAAAAGCGTCACATTTTCAAATTTTTGTCTAATAAAGATTTGTATAATTTTGTAGGCAATACTTTTTTGACTTATCCTCAGGCCAGCTACTTTCTATGAGTGATTTTCAAACACAAGCAAATAAATAAGCCCATACCACTAACTTTCTCAAAGTATACTCAGTATTTGATCTAGGACAAAACGTAAAAATATACAATAAAGTCCATCATTATAATCAATTGGATACATTTATCAACAAATTTTTTGTGCACTACATAATAATGTTTAAAAGCAGATTTTCCATATTCTCATGTTTCTCTGTTTCAATAGATAGCAAAACAATTATAACCTTGATGCCAAGGCAGAGTAAAGGGACTATGCACCCCTCAGTATTATGGGAGGCTAATTTTACATTTTTGTAACTATGTTCTCAGTGTTAAAAAATTAATGCTATTTTTGCTAAGATATAAATGAGAAGAATGGAGCCATTTTAAAATTACAAACTCAAAGATATATGCAAACGTTTAGCACAGAAATCAGAATAAAAGGCAAAAAAGAAAATAATCGATGTGATAAAGGAAAAAAAATATTTAATTAGAAAAGTAGCAGTAGTTCTAAAGGTCTCGGACCATGTTTTAAGAGAATGTAAGTTAATGATCTTTACCAATTTACTAGCAATAGCTTACAAATGCCTTGACTTAAACTCTACACTCCAAAACACCCACTCATGGCCACTGAGTCAATTCCAATTCATAGCGACCCTGTAAGACATGATAAAACTGCCCCTGTGGATTCCCAAGACTGCCGATCTTAACAGCAGAAGAAAGGCTCGTCTTCTAAAAACTCTGCGCTACAGAGAAGTAAAATCAGAACAAATATCTGTGTTAATATAAAATAACCTGTAGAACAAAGTCCACATAAAATGTTCTCCTACATCAAGTAAAGGGCATAAATAATGCATTTCATTTAAAATTACTAGAGCTTACCTGATTAATTTTCCTGAGTTCATTTGTGGCTTCAAAGTTATTCGGTTCCAATTCTAATACTTTTTCAAAATCTGAGCAAATTAGAAGATGAAGCTACTTAGAAAGCGATACTAAGAAACATACAAAATAATAAATTTCACCATATGACAAATAGGCAGAGTGAATAAATAAGAAATAAATGCTAACATTAGGCTACTAGACTTTCTCCATTCTCCCTACAGTAGAATCTCAAGAATCCAATGGTAACCCTTCTTCCACCAGCCCCAGGGATAACACTTGCTAGACCATAAGTGGTACAGCAGGGTTGTTGGCACAGTGGTGGTCGTAGCAGCCTTCCATAAGTGGTACACGATAAAAAGCAAAAAGCAACAGACGTCTATTTGGTTGCAGCTTTAGTCAGGTTGTTTATGTGATTGTTACTACATAAGCCTGTCTGTGGAATAATACAAAGCTTAGAGTTTATAAATGAAAAACAAACATACAGTACAGCTTTACATCTTTACATGTATTACCTCTGGTCTCACATGGTGTTTTAAAACCTACTTTACAGAGGTGAAAACACAGAGAAGACACAAAACTTCCTCTGGTCATACTGTTAATTTTTGGTGAAATGGGAATTTGCACCAATGTCTGATTGGTGGTAAATAATGTGTTCTTGCCAAAACATCAAGATGCCTTTTAAACGTCAAAAACAAGCTTCAAATACAGAAAACTTTCTCAAAGTCGTACCTACACTTAAAACCAAGAAAACCCATTAGCATCAAGTTGATCCCACCTCACAGCAACGGGACTGAGAACTGCTCTTTACAATTTCCAAGGCTGTAAATCTTCACCGGAGCAAATAGCCTTCCCATTCACCCACCGAGCGGCTGGCAGGTTTGAACCACCTTGGACCAGTGCTTAGTAGATTGTGAATAAACACAAAAACCAAACTCCCTGCCAGCAAGTCAAGTCCAACTCACAGAGACTCGACAGGACAGGGGAGAGCTGCCCTGGGGGTTCTGAGATGGTAACGCTTCATGGGAACAGAGCAAGGGCCTCCTTTCTGTAGTGGAGCACCGGTGCTTCGGACGGCTAACCTCACAGTTGGCAGGCCAACACATCGCCGCTTGGAGGAATTGTCAGATAATGAAGACCTGGAGAATACCAGTACCTTTTTTGGCCTCCTCTAATTTTTGCAGAGCAAATCGAGCAGCCCCTCGTCTGGCATAAGCCTTTGTGTAACTCCGATTCAAGGCAACTGCTAAATTACAGTCAGACTCAGCAACAGCAAATCTGCAATTACACAAAATTAAAATAGTGTTAATAAAAAGCAATTATTAAACCAAAAGCTCAAAGTTTATTTTCTGAAATCCCTAACCATTCCCAATTGATAGCATGTTTTTCACCTCCCAATATGTAGTGAAAGGAGCCCTGGTGGCACTGTGGGTTAGGTGCTGGACCATTAACCACAAAGTCTGGGGTTCAAATCCCCCAGCTGCTTCACAGGAGAAAAAGGAGGCTACCTGCTCCCAAGAAGATTTCATCTCAGTCACCCTATTATATAATGCTGCGAGGAGGCGGTGGGTTTGGTCTTAGTTTCAATTAGTTAGGCCCATTAAAAGCATTAATTTGGACTGGGTGGGGAGGAGAGGATTAGGCCTACCATTCTGTTGTATTGTTAAAAGACGACAGCAACTGGCATCACGTCCACTTAACTCATGGTGATCCTGTTTTTGTAGAACTCAATTCCATTTCTAGATCAACGTCCTCTTTATTCCTTTTGGTAATAAGACGTGTGTGTGTGTGTGTGTGTGTGTGTGTGTGTGTATGGGAGTGGGGTTATATTTACAGAAAACTTAAGAGTAGAGTTGATATACATCACCCCTCGAAAAGTCTCTCCTCTCACTGTCTTACATTACTGAGG